TTTCACATCCAGGGTCAACCAGGTTCTCTAGAGCGAATGGTGAAGAAAATCTCCCCATGCTTCCAGCAGGGAAGAGGAGAAAGTCCATTTTGAAATGTACCAACACAGTGTGTTCTCAACAAGGTGCATCCTTAGGAAGACAGCCTAGCAAGAGCTTGTGGGGAATGAGGGAAGGGAGACAAGAACTCCAGCCTGTGTGCCATGGCCAGAGGGAAGGCAGGGTATGGGGGTATGGATGTTGGCATGCAGCTATGGAAAACTTCTGAGACCCACAGTCCAGAGGCAAAGCTCCCTGGAAGGCTGCCACCTAACCCGAGGATACTGCACGCATCCCTCATCATTAGCAGGGGTCTCTCAAGAGGAGTCTCTTGTGCCAAATACATCACATTTAGTAAGATGAACTTAGTTCTCCAGACACACTGAACAGTAAAAAGACACAATTTTAAGAAATAGTAAGAATCAGATCCAGACATGGCAGGAACGCCAGAATTATCAGATGGGGAATTTTAGGGACTCCAAGAGATGTTAAAGCAGAAAGTGAGGGCAGAGCAGTCATGGAAGCAGAGGGACAGAAACCCTATGCAACCATGAAGAAGAAATGCTGGAGACTAAAACCATTAAAACAGAAAGAATGTCTTTGATGGGCTTATTGGCAGACTGTTGCCCTTGTTAACTGAGGAAAGAATCTCTGAGTTTCATAATATATTAACAGTTAACCCTGAAAATAAAAAGCAAGCAGAAAAACTGAAAAAAATCCTAACAGAAAACAAGGCCTAACAAAAAACTATAAAAGGTGCACCATATGGATGTATAATTGAAGTATAAAAAAAAGAAAAAAAGAGAAACCATGCAAGAAATATCTGAAATAACACTTTGACTGAAAATGCCCAAGTCAGCATCAGGCACCAAAGCACAGATGAGCAAAGTTAGGGCTGAAAAACCAAGATAAATAACAAAACATCTGAGGCTAACACTACTCAATACCAAAAATTACACTTAAAAAATATCCTCAAAGAAGCCAAAGAGTGGAAAACATTTAAAACATCTTCCTACACAGACACAAAGTTAAGAATTTTTCCTCTGAAATAATGCAAACCAAAAGAAAAGATAGTGAAATAATTAAAAACCCTCGAAAGTGAAGGGCAGGATACAGTCATGCAGCAAGGTAAGACGCCCGCATCTCATACTGAAGTGTCTGCTTCAAGTCCCAGCTCTATTCCCAACTCCAACTTCTTCCTAATTCATCCCCTAGAAGGTGGCAGGTGATGGCTCAAGTGACCAGGTTCTTGGCACCCACCTGTAAGAGCTGAATTAAGTTCTCAGCCCCAGCCCCCCGTTTTACCCTGGCTCTGGCCTTGGCCCTGATCCAGCCCAAGCTGTTGTGGACATCTAAAGGAGTGAATCAATGAATGAGAGCTCCGTATCTCAAATAATTTAATCAAAACAAAAGCAAAAACCTGAAGGAGGGAGAGAGGATTCTGAGTAGAAAGCAGTAGGAATCTGTGTCCCTCCCTAGATACCAACTGCACTGGCAGAAGATAATTAGAAGATACTGAAAATTTATCAAGAACGTCCAAGATCCAGTCAAAGAACATTCAGAACCAACTCCAAATGCAAAGAAAAAATAAAGTCAACTGGAATACTCAAACAGAGGTGCATGATCAGAAAACACATGAGAACAAACACACAAACTCAGCAAACCTCAGGAAGAGGGAGATTCTCATTTCCAGTGGGTCTGTAGTATTCGATGTAAGGGTCTAATCAACACAATTCACAAGGCACACAAGGAAACAGGAAAACCCAGACTAGGGCATGAGCAAGTGGATCACAGAAGACTTTTCTGGCAAGGCCGACAGCATGTATGACAGTACAGTGATGAGTTATAGAACATACAACAGCAGGAGCAAATCCTAAAGAAACCCATGGTTTTGAGTAATTATGACATGCCAATGTAGTTTCATTAATTTTCAAAACTGTACCAAATCTGGAGCAGACACCATGGTGTCTTAGCCTAGCTTTATCCTCCTGAACCAGCATCCCCTATTGGACACTAGTTCAAATCCCAGTTGCTCCACTTCTGATCCATCTCCCTGCTTACAATCTGGGAAAGTCAAGGATGGATCAGGTGCTTGGCCTCTGCATCCACATGGAAGACCTGGAAGAGACTCCAGGCTCTCGGCTTTGGATCAGCACAGCTCCAGCTGTGGTCATTTGGGAAATAAACTAGCAAATGGAAGATTCTCTCTCCCACCTTGTCTCTGTAACTCTGCCCTTCAAATAAAAATAAATCTAAAAAAATAAAGTTCGATTTTGATTAAGATGCTGATACCAGAAGTGTGTAAGCATGTGTGGGGACAAGGTATGCATGGGGCACCTCTGTCATCACCGTACCTTCCTCTTTATTTTGCTTTTAATCTAATATTGTCCTAAAACTTGAGTCTTAGAAATAAGAAGAGCAGTGGGTATTTGGTAAAGTGATTAAGGTGGCGCTTAGGACACCCATATTCCATATCCGAGTGCCTGGTTCAAGTCCTAGCTTTGCTCTTACTTCTGGTTTCCTGTGGATGTGCAATATGGAGGCACCGGGAGGTATTTCCAGGAACTGGGTTGCTGTTATCCACACAGGAAACTGGGTTTCAGGTCCCAGTTCCTAAACATTGCAAGATTTAGTGAACCAGCAGATGGGAGATCTCTTTATCTCTCTACCTTTCAAATAAGGTAAACATTAGTTTTGATTTTTTTGTTTGCTTGGTTTTTGTTTTTTAACTGCTTAAAGAGAATAAGAAAAAACAGGGCACCGAGACATCAAGAATGAGTAAAATATTCCAAGAATGGCTGAATCATATCAAAATAAAGAATATTTATCTCTGCCATGTTAGGAATTACATTAAAATGGCCCAAACGACTGTACTGTTTTAGGCAGCCTTGTCACTAACGACCTCGCCTGAGGGGAAACTGCTCAGTTCATACATTACTGTTATGCAATCTGTTCTTGCGCTCTTCAAATTCCACTACCTTATCCTAGTTAAATTTCACTTCTCCCATACAGCCAACAGCCTTTCCTGATGGTTCACCATCTAAAATCATCTTGATTACTCTTCTAAGTGTAACCCATTGGCAAATACTGCAATTTACCACTTCTCCCCCCTTACAAGTCACTATTAAATGTCTAATAAGAGAAAGGACCCTGAAATCTGCCGTTAAGGTTTTCTCCTGGGCCTGACGCCATAGCATAGTGGTTAAGGTCCTTGCCTTGAAAGCGCCAGGATCCCATATAGGTACTGATTCTAATTCCGGTGGCCCTGCTTCCCATCCAGCTCTCTACTTGTGGCCTGGGAAAGCAGCTGAGGACAGCCCAAAGCCTTGGGACCCTGCACCCACGTGGGAGACCCGGAAGAGGCTCCTGGCTTCGGATCGGCATAGCATTGGCCGTTGCGCTCACTTGGGGAGTGAAACATCGGATGGAAGATCTTCCTCTCTGTCTCTCCTCCTCTCTGTATACCCACCTTTCTAATAAAAATAAATATATCTTTGAAAACAAGTTCTCTCCTAAGAATACAGCAATAGTTAATTATAAAGCTGGCTATCCATACTGATATTTCCCTGCACCAGTCTTAAGCACATAAGACAGCTCCGAATACACATAGCACACCTACGCAAGTACCCTCAGCTACAAGTCCGATGAACTTCAGAGAAATACCAATGTCTTCATGCCAGCTAAGCTCATCCCTCGGGATACTCACACACCGTACCAGAGTGCCTGGCTTGGAGCCCTGTTCTGCTTCCAATCCCAGCTTCTTGCTCATGTATACCCTGGGATACGGTGGTGATGGTCCAACTACCCGGATCCCTGCCACATAAGTGGCAGCAGGACTGGGTCCTGGGCTCCTGGATACACACTGACCAGCCTCAGCTGTTGCAGGCATCTGGGAAATGAACAAGCAGTAGCAGAAGTGTCCCTCTGTCTCCATTTCTTTCTGTCTCTACATCTTTCAAACAAATTAAAGAAATCAAAGAAACAAAAGAAATTAGTCTGTCATACGTTTCTCTTAGAGAAATCCTTCCTGGTTTGCAATCATCACAGTTTTTCTCATTGCTCCATCAAAAGGAATAAGACAAAGCCTGGCGCAGAGACCTAGTGGCAAAAGTCCTGGTCTTGCCTTCACCCAAAATCCCACATGGGTGCCAGTTCATATCCCGGCAGCTTCACTTCCCATCCAGCTCCCTGCTTGTGTCCTGGGAAAGCAGTGGAGGACAGCCAAAAGTTTTGGGATCCTGCACGCTCATGGGAGACGCAGAAGAAGCTACTTGCTCCTGGCTTCAGATTTGCTCAGCTCCGGCCGTTGCAGTCACTTGGGGAGTGAACCAACGGATGGAAAATTTTTCTCTGTTTCTCCTCTATAAATCTGCCTTTCCAATAAAAATAAATAAGTCTTAAAAAAAAAAAGTGAGACACTGCTAGGTGAACAACAGACTTGGACTCTGAGTCAACTCTAAAGACAAAAATAGAAGAGTCTCAAATACTTAAGCAATGAAAACAGAACTACAATTACAGCTCTTCATTTAATAATACGATGTAATATTATCATCAATACTTATAATATTTCCAAATGGTACCAATTTGGCTTGCAAAGATAAATTGTAAATTTATTTCCAGTTACTTAAATTTCTTTGCTAGATTTTTCATATATCCAAATAAATGTCACTTCTTTAAAGTAATTAATTAATCTTCATATTCTAAATAAAAACAGCAGACTTCTGTATACTACTCAGAAGACCACATCTGAAAACAGGGTGACATTATTCTGTGCTCCCGAGCTGGAAGGGACCTGGCATTTACAAAATAACTGTAAATAGTGATGCTGAGATGCTCAGAGAAGGAATGACTCAATCTTTGGCATGGCTGGGCAAGGAAATCAGATCTATTCATTTGCTACACATAATGCTCCACAAACCATGAAGCCAAAAAGAATAATAAGATAAAACAAACACTTTCTTACCAACTGGACTTCACCGAAAGCGCCTCTTCCAATAACTTTTACGACATCATAGTCTTCTGCCTTCATCTGCAGGCCTCTGATTTTTTCCACGATTTTCTCATCTATAATTTAAAAAAAAAAAAAAGACCACCCTACTATTTTAACATAATCACATTCGTAAATAAAGTTTTAGTTGAAAAAAAAAATTGCATTCTGTTTTCAGCTAAATGTATTTTCTAAGGCTTCTGCTTAAAAAGTTAAAATTTGCAATAATCTAGTATTAAAGTGCCAAAATCTACAGTTCATTGAGTCATACACAGTGACACTGCACCAAAGAAAAGCAGTACAGAGCAGGTGTCTGACTCAGTCATGTTAAGATGGCCACAGTCCCCTTGGGAAGGCCTGGATCCAAGTCTAAATTCCAGCTTCTTCTTAATGCTCACCACAACAGAGACCATAAGCGCAGACTACGGCTCAAGTCATCATGTCCCTGCCACAGAGGACTTGAACTAACTTTAGACTGACACAGCCCTAGCCATCCTAGACATGTGGGTAGTAAATCAGTGAATGGGAGCTGTGTGTGAATGTGTATGTGTGAAAGCTGGGCCCAGGGCCATGGCATAGCAGCTTAAGCCTTTACCTGTGGTACCCAGCATTCCATACCGGTACCAGCTGGCCAGTTACTGCTGGTGTGGCTGGGAAAGTAGCAGAGGATGGCCTAAATCCTTGGATCCCTACCTCCACGTGGGAGACCCAGGGGATGCTCCTGGCTCCTGACCGGCCCAACTCTAACCGTTGTGGCCACTCAGACAGTGAACCAGTAGATAGAACATCTATCTCTACCTCTCTCTCTCTCTCTCTATCTCTCTCTCTCTCTCTCTCCCTCTCTCCCTCTCTCTCTCTCTCTGTAACTTTGTCTTTCAAATAAAATACACTAGATTTTTAAAAGAGAACAATAATTACAGCAATTCTATTTCTAACTCTGCTGCTGGGCAAGCTAGGTGACAGCCAAAAGGATGTCCCAGTCAATACCGGGCCTTCCGTATCACAGCAGAGTTGCCACTACACTGTTTGCAAGTTCATAGTAATTAATGTTGACAACCTACAGCCTACCTCTTTGAAAAATCATAAGCATATACTGTTACTTATCTTGTAACTAGACAAAACTGTGTGATTTGGAGAATTACCCCAGTGCCTGGTAATTCCAAATTAAACAGCTTACTGTGCTGACACAAAGGACACATGAATCACTATTAAAACTTCTTCAAATTCAACTTTAAACACACAGTATATACAGAAATAATTGCTGCAACATTATTCATTAACTAGACTAAAATTTCCACATTTATAAAAACATACATCTTACCTAAGCCTTCTAGGTAATGTAAATGAAAGGATTTGAATTCTGTTTCTATTTCAAGTGTTTCTTGTTTCTACTATAAATAACCTACTGAGATAGCTAAATAGTAATACTTTATACAAAATTTTAAACTTTATCCATTTTATATATAATGTATATTATAATATATATAACAAAAATAAAAAAACGTTTATCTTTAAAAAGTCAGGTGGCCGAGGCAAGCACAGGGTCCAGGTGGTTAGGCTGCTGCTGAGGAGGCCCACAGCACCTGTGGGAGCAGCTGGCTCCACTCCCAACCCTGTGCTTCTTGTCCAGCTTCCTGCTGATGCGCATTCCAGGCCACACCAGACGATGGCTCAAACACCCGAGTGCTTTCCATCCATGTGGCAGACCTGGACTCTGGCCTGACCCAGCCTCAACTGTTACGCATTTATAGACTGAACCAGTGCATGGAAGATGGATCTCTCACCTGTGCCAGACTGCCTCTTAAAGAAATAAAAACAAGTAAATATTTTTTAAAATAATCTTTGTGATCACTGAAAAGATCAAATTGTAAATAAAATGAATTTAATAAGTTAATGATTTTAGTAAATTAACTAAATTGATAAGCTTATGAACTGTGATATATTAACAAATCTGTTGAAAGCAGTTATATGACCAAATATGATGTTTAAACATACTTACATCTATTTAAGAAATTATCTATGTTCTTGTTTTTCCTCAAAGCAGGAAAATCCAAATCAAGGACCAAGGAATTTAAACCATCCTGTCAAAAAATAAATGGTAGAAAGAGTTTAGAGTTTGTATCATTTTTAAGCATTCAAAAAAGAAGCCTTAAGCTTTACCATATTCTTCTTTCTAGATAAAGGCCAAAACCCTAAAGCCCTCTATCCAGCACTGCACAGCGTCCCAGCCCTGCCACAGCAGCACCACCGATCCCAGCACATTTCCAACAGAAAAGCATCAACTAAAAATATGAAACAATTATTTCTGCTACTTTTCTGTCTTCAAATAATAGATAAAAATTCATCAGGCTTTTGATTCTAAGAAATGTGCCTACACTAAGTTCCCACTCAGTCACTGCCTATGAAGAATAGAAAATCCAACAACAAAGAAGAAATTATCCTTATCCCGAAGGGACTCGGCCCCAAAACTCAATTTCCTCTAAAAACGAGGGGGGGGGATAAAGTAGGATCTGGATTTCTCTTTACGCTTTCTGAATTTTCCAGACCTTTGCAATGAGTATGCATTAGGCTTATAATTAAAATAGGAAAAATGCATATAGCATAACAGGTGCAGGGAAAAAGAAAACTCTAGAGAAAGTAACTGGGTTTCCAGTCCCTCAATGAACCTGCCAGGGAAGGAAACAGAGTCCCTAAAATCTTGTGGCACTCACATCCCTGAGTAACTCTGAGGAAGGCAGAACAAGATATTCTCACTTTGGAGATGAACAAGCAAGGCTCTGGGGCCACTGCGGCCTGGACACCACCTCCCATCCAACTCTTTCTGACGCACTGGGGGAGCAGCAGCCATGAGGGACCCTGCAGCCCACGTGGGACACCAGAAGCTCCTGGCTCTGAGCCGGCCTGGATCCAGCCTCACAGGGGATCGGAGGAGGGAACCAGCAGTAAGGACTTCAATCTCAACCCCTCCCCTACGGCCAGTAACTTCTGCTCTTCAGATAAATAAAATGAATCTTTAAAAAAAGAAAAAACAAAAAAGGCCCCAAGAAATTATTTTGATGGCCCAAATGGCAAAACACAATCTAAATCTTGGAGGTCCAAACATGTAACTCATTTGCTTAGCCTAAATACACTCGGGAGACATAACGAGAGCTGAACAGGACAGAGAAGGAGCCTGTGGGACTGTAGGAATCCAAAGGGTAAAAGAGAAACTCCTAGGGATCCAAACAAGGCGATAACAAGAGGGAAAGTACACGTCAAACTGAAAAGGCGACTTTCAGTTGTTAGTATACTAATTTTGTGGAGAACTGCACACTCTATGCTAATTTTTCATTTATATTTCATAATTCCACTCTGCATTCATGAAAAATATCATCACCTCATAAAAATTTATTAACAGAAAGGAGCAAAGATTAAAATTGCTGATATTTTAAACCATAACTAAAGTCACTTATATCCTTCTATTTCAGGCAGAAACATGGAACAATCTGACTAAGGAAAAAAAGCATTAAAAAATGAATATAAAAGCCCAAGTTTCAACTAATGCATAATGTGAAACACCCTGCCACCCCCTTCTGAAGGAGTGGGTATAACTATCCAACAATCCCAGCATTTGGCCATCTGAGGCTATTTTTGGGTGAAAAACTATCAATGATATTTTAGTTAGGTATAAAACTTAGAAATCAATAAAACTTTTAGATGTGTCTAGACTTGTAATCTGCATTAAAACTTTAAAGAAAGTTGTAGCTATTATACAAACATTCTCCTACACCTCTATCAACATCTATAGGAAGAAAGTCCTTAAACTTGTGACAAAAAAAAATGTTTCTAGTATAAGAACAAGAAGACTGAATGATTTCGCCCAAAATTGAATTAAAAGTTAACTTTTAATAGGTGGTTTCCATGTTTTTTCTTTTTGAAGACCCCTCTCTATTTTCCCCAGAAACTGGGGAACTATTTTCCAAGCAAATGAGCGCTTGCTGCTGAAATGACCGTCACTGTATTAAGCCTCCATGTAGACACAATGAAGACAAAAGAAATCTTTCTTTGCTATACTAGCGCAGCTTGATATCAACAGAAGGCACAATCCTTGCTTTCTCCATATCTTCCCTAAAGTTCTTACAGATGGAATTACATGAAGATTAACTAATCAAGAAAAATTGAGAACCAGTTCAGACATTTCCCCTGACCATAGCCATGTGTGATCAGAAAGCTTTTTAAGCAGCTAGAATATTAGTTTCTCAACAAGCTTTTTGTTTTTAAAACTATTTTTAAGGGCCCAGCGCAGTGGCGCAGTGGTTAAGGTCCTCGCCTTGCACGCCCAGGATCCCATATGGCTGCCGGTTCTAATCCCGGCGGACCCACTTCCCATCCAGCTCCCTGCCTGTGGCCCGGGAAAGCAGTCGAGGACAGCCCAAGGCTTTGGGACCCTGCACCCGCGTGGGAGACCCAGAAGAGGCTCCTGGCTTCAGACCGGCATAGCATTGGCCCGTTGGGGCTCACTTGGGGAGTGAATCATCAGATGGAAGATCTTCCTCTCTGTCTCTCCTCTCTGTATATCTTCCTTTCCAATAAAAATAAAATAAATCTTAAAAAAAGAAAACAATTTTTAAGACTAAATGTTATTTCAATCATGTACAACTCATTTGTATGAAATTCATTTTTTTAAACATTTACTTGTTTTACTGGAAAGTCAGAGATACAGAGAGGAGATCCAGAGTTCTCTCTTCTGCCTGCTGATTCATTCCCCAAGTGGCCGCAATGACCACAGCTTAGGTGATCCAAAGGCAGCAGTCAGGAGCTTCTTCCAGGTCTCCCACACAGGTGCAAGATCCCAGGGATTTGGGCCATCCTCAACTGCTTTCCCAAGCCACAAGCATGGAGCTGGATGGAAGTGGAGCAGCCAGGACAGGAACTGGTGCCCATATGGGATCCCAGAGCATGCAAAGCGAGGACCTTTGCCACTAGGCTACTGCGCCAGGCTATAATATATTCATTTCAATGTGATACAGTATTTTCATTTTCATACAGAACTACTGAACTATCAAAATCACTTGAGCAGAACCCTCGGAGCATGCCAAACATTGGGGAACCTGGGAGAGCTGGGAGGCTGGGTGTGGCTTTTCCTCTTATTTCTCCCCTTCCCTCAGCTCAGGAAGGAAAGAAGAGAATGAAAACAACAGTCTCACCCACTTTCCTCTAGCTTTTGACCCCATGCACCTTATTCAAATATGTAAAAGTTATTAAAAATAAAATTTATACACGGAAAAAAGTCCCTAAAAAAAAGATGGACTCCCAATGAAACTGTTAAATGTATCTTAACAATAGAATGCTGGACTTTGTACCACTGTCTGTATCTACAATGCCATGATACACTTCAGTAGCAGAATGATGAACTTGTGACTGAAGTTCAAGGACTATACTAGTGCAATTACACGGGAAATCCCTAAGCCTTTGGAAATGCTGTATGAGAAATAAAAATTAAAAAAAGGAATGACAGTATAGGTGGTAATACATTTATTTATAAATTTATGTTTTTACTCAAGGCTTTATGTTTAAAAATGTTTTACAAAAGAAATGTGCTATTTGTCCCCAGCTATACGTAGGCAAATGTCAACATTACTAGAAGAAAAGCAGACAACAGTTGGTGAGCATTCTGGGTGCGAAGAAGGGGAAGCACCTGCCACACCACCCTGGGCACAACCTTTGCTGCTTTCTGGACCACAACAGGGAGCTGGACCACAAGTGAAGCAGCTGCTGTAGCAGTCAAGTACTAGCCTTGCATGTGCCGGGATGCTATATGGTTGTCGGTTCAAACCCCAGCTCCCCACTTCCCCCTAGCTCCTTGCACGTGGCCTAACAAAGCCGTCAAGGATGGCCGAAAGCCTTGGGACCCTGCACTCACATGGGAGACCCGGTGGAGGCTTCTGGTTCCTAGCTCCTGGCTTCAAATTGGCACAGCTCCGGCCATTGCGGCACTTGAGGAATAAATTAGCGGACAGAAGAGAGTACTCTGTACCTCCTTCTTTGTATATCTGCCTTTCCGGTCATAAATAAATTAGTGTCCTGCTGACACTTGGAGAATTTTGGATTTCAGATTTTCAGATTAGGGATAATCAAGCTGCATTAATGCTCAAATCCCTATCTAACTGTCCTTCGAACAAAAAAATCTAAATCTCAATAGTCTACATTACATGTTAGAATATACTTTACACTTCATCTAGTGGAAAAACAACTATGCATGTTAACTGACCTGCTTTCATTTATCAGTCAGGTGAATAAAATCTTTAATGTTTAACCTGCAATACTGTACAGCATTATAAGTACACGTACCCAAGTTCTGTCAGTAAAAGAAAGCATTACTCAACTAAAGAGAATTTTTTTAAGAAAAAGTTACCAAGGAACCAAAGAAGTCAGTGTTGGGTGCCAGTGTCTCCCACATTTACGTCTGGTAGACCAATTCTCCCACAAGCTTGAGGAGCTCATCTAATGAAGCTCAAGGAAGCTGTGTTCATTTATGCAAATCCTAGCCGCCTGGTGGCCTCCACGTGTCCCACGACAGTAACATCACTCTTCAGGCTCCCTACCGCCTCAGAGCACACACATGGCCCATGAGTGCAGCGGCAGCCATCTAACAGCCAGAACCAAAACATTACAGGGATGATTTTATTAGTCCAAACGCTCCAGCTAGAACCTTGGTGCTTTGGACTGACTCCTTGCTAGAGTGCTCATCCCGTTCCCTCTTCCTGGCCTGGCTAATGACTTCATTCTTACACACCCTTTGAGAGCTTGCTTTTCATTTTAAATGTCCTTTTCTGAGCTCCTCAGATTTTTCATCTTTCCATCCAATGTATTTAGCACCTGGCAAGCAGCAAAATTCAAATCAGCGCAAAAATGAAGTAACATACACACATTCTAAGAAATAATAAGGTAAAAAAAATCAAGTAATTACAAAATCTGGATTTTATCACCTTGGTTCTGCTGCTTACTCGGCTTGTGACCTGAGGAGAGTAATCCCCACTTGATTTCTAACACCCTCAACTTGAACAGAAGTAGCAGCTTATAAAAATCATTCTGGGGAACA